GGCTAACAGCATCCAAGCGTTGTTTGACCATCCAGATCAGAAATCAAAGCTAGGCAGAGACAGGGAGAAGCTCAAACCCTGGTTCTTTTCTCACCTGGAGTGAGTGTGAATCTCAGATTATTGGTTTCAGAAAAAGTTACAGCTCTCAACCTTTAGACCAGTTTTTTTCTCACACATTCAGCTCAATTCATTTAGCATTTTCTTCCCACAGGCTCCACAGGGATTTCAGAATGGATATGTGATATAACTTTCCACTTCATGAAGCAATGGAAAACTGATTCTCTTATAATCTAGATGAATCCGATGCCTTGCAGCCATTGATGTCATCTAAGTTCAGGATGCGTGCTTTCAGTCTAAAAGGCACAACCAGCTGTTTTTTCGCCTCCAGGAAGACTGAAAACTCTATCATCTATTCTTCTGGCCATGTGATGGACTGCCAACCTGTCCCCCGTTTACTTTGTCTCTTGCCCGTTGTGCATTGGGACAGGCTCAATCTGCCTATCCCAGCATACCATGTGACCCTAAACAGAATAAAGGCCTTATAAACAAAATGATCAACATTTGATCAACAATGTTGTTTCCCATTCCACATGCTGAGTGCTCATTCTCCAACTCCAAGACCCCTGAAAACGGCACTGTGTGGACTAGAGTTTGCAAAAACGGTGCATAGCCCTTTATATTTGCTGTTGGTTATAGTTGTGTTGTTGCATGAATTTTATCTATACTTGTCGGGTTGTAGTGAGGCTAGACTGAGGAAGGCAGCTGTGTATTTATACGTGGTATAGTCTGTTGTATTATAGGCTGCAATATAGAAAAGGAATGAAGATTTGGTTTGGATGTACTCAACGTACCCAGTGATGCGGTTCACACCCAGGCCAGACACCAGTGTCGGCAGCAACAAATAATCTGTGAGTTTGCTTATTTTACAAACTTTCATGCTGGAGAAGGCTTTCTTATATTTGTTGTTTTAAAAGCAATCACAATGAGTCAAAAGGGGAAATCATCACGTGGGAGGAGTGTTTCATGGGAAAAGACAGAGAGATGAGTTTTCAGTCTATGATGGAAGGTGCTAAGTGAATGCGTTGCTGACCACACGAGAGGGTCTTTCCACGATGGGTTTGTCCAAGAGGCCAGTGTGTCAGGTTGGCCCGAGGCCCAGATATGGACGTTTGTATCTTGGAAGACTCTTATCCTTTGTGTCTAATTTGAATCAATACACTACAGTTTATTTACTATATCTGCTTGAAATGTGGTTTATTCAGATACTTGGAAGCAGAAGTGACTCAAATTTAGCCTTACATAATGACACAATAGACTGTAAATCAAGTTTAGGCAAAAATGCTTCTTACATTACATCAGTCAATACTTTGAAACCACAGATGAGTCTCTCCTCGTAAATACTGTTGTTTTGCCCGTACAATTTTCTTAATCCATGACATTCCTTCCCTCATTTAACTTTCCAAGCCCAAGTCATTCTCCTTATTGGTGTCTGGCCCTTGAACTGCTAAGACATAATGAGGTAAGCAATAGCCTGTTGAGTGTTGCAGGTCCTCTGTTTGTTAGGAAACAAATTAGCATTTGTCGAGCAAAGAAATAAAAGGCGTTGATATGACTTCTAACTGCAGTTATTCACTATTCATTTTTCTTGTCAGTATACTTGTCAGTTTTTAAAATTGGTGGATATCGGATTTCCACAATTGGACTCCTTAGTTTGGGCTTTTCAGAGGCCGCACTCTGGATTAACAAGACCACCAATGCTCATGGTTGACTGCCTATGATGTCAGCAGATTAAGCGCCGAAGCAAAGTGATACATGACTTTAATTGAATCCTGGTGAGGATCGTTCGAGTGAAATAAATTGAAAACAAAGAGATCACACAGTGTACGACTTTGGTTGTCACCACTGTTTGTTGCGTGCCTCACTGCTTTCCCAGGAAAAAGCTTTGTCCCATCAAGAACCACGAAAAAACAGGCAGCGCAGCCACTTCCACAGCAGTTACTTGTCCAATTATGACACTCATGCTCGACAGTAAATGAATGTGGTTCAGGGTCGAGGTTAGGTAAATGTTTTATATGCCGAAGTTGCTGTGGACGGATTTGTCACTGACACACATGTGGGCAGTTTCTGCTACTTTTGCTGTTTTAGAATACGACCGGTGCCTCCAGTGTTGTAAATGGGGTTTTAAAGCAACAGAGAAAACAGGGCTGTTTTGTGGTGCGGTTACCACTATGGAGTCAACCCTCAATCCAGGAGTGTGATTCACATTCTTAATTAGAGAACGCAGTTCAAACCACATGTAAACAATTAGCCTTCAGGATACCAGGGTTGTTCCTATGTATGTGTGTGTCTGTATGATACAGAGTTAGAGTATGCTGCACTTTCCCAGACCTCGACTGAAACAGTGTAACGGAGTCGACAAATGAAAGGATGATTAATAACTCATGGTGAGCACACACACACACATACACACACACATACACACACACCATTATGTTTTACCTTAAATATTATCTTTCTTAACCATAATCTGACCTTGGACCTTTTTTTTTGTTTTTTGTTTTTTTTAACAATGCAGGCCACACAAATGTGTCCTGTTTAAATTGGTTGTTTCTTTGAAATTTTCACTGCGCAAACAGCACCAGCTCGCCAGTTATCATCAGCCACACCAAATGCCAGAGTCATAAAAGAGCTCTCATATCAAAATACACAGCTCTCAACATCAACAAATTCCTTAGCAGGAACGATATACAGTAGACCTTGAAGCTTGGAGCAAACAGTGGAGGACGCCAAATAAAACTTTTTACAAATTCTGTCACTGATATCGAGTGTGTGAGGCCCGAAATATTTTCAAGCCTGCGTGTGTGGTTCAAAAATGTTTTTCAAAGATAAGCCAAGAGAAACAAACATCACAATCAGCAGCATGAATTGATTAATGACTGCAGCACGACTTGCCCAACGTGTGACAGGCCGACATTATTTCCTCTGAAGAGCACAACGTTTGCAACCGTTGGAAAAAGTTGCAGCTTGACTTTAAGAAGAAAAATTCCTTTCAGAGCCAATACTGGATGTATTTGAAAGATCTTTGTCTATAAATACAAATAACATTGTAACAGGCCAACCACATTAAAAGCAACGAAGCATTTAACTCCTCAAAATGGCTGCCCTTCAAAGTGACGACTGGCCCTCTCAGCTCCTCAGGGAACAACAGTCCGTGTCTGATTAAGATGAATCTCCCTATTTTAATTAATAGTCTCTCAATAACATCAGCCCCTCCCTTTACTGCAAAGAGCAGAAAACTAACGCCCCCGATGACTTGTCTTACTGATGGAGAGCTGAATACGTCCCTGGAGGCAGAACTCTTGAATAAGGAAATCCCTCTCTGTGCCAAGACATGTGGCTCTGACCACACTCTCTTCCGTACTTGTTACGCCTCTTTGTTCCCTGCTCTGTCTCCGGTCTTTCCGTGTCTTCTTATCTAATTATTTCTCATTACCTCTTTTTGTCTGTTTTCCACACTTTAGCCACCCACCCTCCCTGCTTTCCCTCTGTTCCTGCAAGGCCTCCAAACCCTCTAATCCCTGTATGTTTTCAGCACATAGTGACAAACCATACACAACTTTTTTGTTCTTGTACAGTTTCTTTTTGTTTTGTTTTTTTGACTTGTGTCTTTGCGGGCATGCGCTTTTGTGCGCAAGTGTATGTACATAATGTACATTTTTGTGTGTGTGTGTGTGTGTTTGTCTGCAAGAGTATAAACCTCTCCCTGCGCAAGTGTATGTACGTAATGTACATTTTTGTGTGTGTGTGTGTGTGTGTGTGTGTGTGTGTGTTTGTCTGCAAGAGTATAAACCTCTCCCACCAAATGGTTTGTGGTCTGAAGAGTGGAAGGAAGAGTAAAAGACGAGAAGAGGAGAAAAGAGGAAAAAACTTTTGCAGGCCAAGCTTCTCCTTTGTTGTTGATAGGAAAACATCCCATTTGCATCTGTCTCAGGCATGCTTACTATTACACACTGTGCTCTAGAAATATTTGCATTATTCGAGCTGATTCAGCAGAAATGTCCAGTATGTCACAGTTAATTCATTGACACGCAAAATATGTGCACTCTAATATGTTGTATGTATGTATATTACAAGATGCACTATTATAACCTTTTTGTTTTGACTGACAATTTACTTATTTTCACTTGGCTGAATTGTATTATATTGTCAGCTTTCATTCTCCTCTGAGCTTCGAGTGGAGATCGGCCTACAATACACAATACAGGACAGGCCGGTTATTCATTTGTTATAATAATGCCAAATAATGTGCAGATGATGAACAGGGGTGTAACTTCTGCTTCTCTGACCTCCACATTTCCTCTCCAAAAATACAAATTTCAGCTAAAAGCAACAGTCTGTTAACAAACCCGCCAAGCCACCAAACCAAAAGCAAATCCTTCCACCAGTTATGTTTCAGTGTTTCAGCAATATTTTACAAAACAATCTTAAAAAAAACTAAGAGAAAAAACAAGTGTGCAAACACAGTTTAAAATGTGTGCTTGACATTTATCACTATCTTTGTGTCTCTGTCTTTGTAGAAGTAGATTTCGTGTATTTATAAGCCATCATTGCTTGCTGCACTGTAGAGTGCATCCACTTGATCAGAAATAGCATTTCTAAAAGACAAAGTACTGTTTGACTTGTTATTCTTTCATTCATCTCCCAATATTTTTTGTAAAAGATGTTATGAACTGCACTTGTAATTAAAGACAGTTTTAAATTCCAAGGGGCAAGAGATACAGAGGAATGCAGTACTCTGTTTTGTGTTGTTTGACATTATGACAAGTAACTGATAAGACTCTATAAACAACTGTGTGTGTGTGTGTGTGTGTGTGTGTGTGTGTGTGTGTGTGTGTGTGTGTGTGTGCGTGTGTGTGTGTGTGTGTGAGTGTGTGTGGTGGCGTTCTACAAACACCAGCACAGCCTTCTCAGATCCTCTGTGCAGTATGTTTCCTCATTAGTGCAGCACTGATCCTCTGGTCCTACAGTTACAGTCCTAACAGCACATGAGGTACTTTACACAGCCAATGTGGTAGCACTAGAGCATCTTAAGTTTGGGATCTTCATCACCGGACAGTGATGATTGGGAGATGATGGCAGGAAGATGCAGCACAAGACTGTTGGTGTTCTGCGTGTGTGCGGCTGTGTTCAGCTACATCTCTGCCTCTCCAGAGGTCTGCACCAACTCCCTCCTGCCTGGAGCTAAAGGTAACACATGTCCCTGTGTGTCTCTGTGTGTTAATGTAAACTACTCTGTTTTGAAACGTTTATCCTATCGATCACACAGGTATGATGTGCAATGGAATAAGTTAAGTCAAATGAACTAAAATGTAAACACAGCATTTAGAATTGTGAAGGTTTGTCCAAGAGCACAAGTTTAACTTTGACCATTTTAAAATTGAAGGGCATGTACCTACACATACATGCTGTTTGGGTTTGTGGGTGCTTAGAATCTTTACTTTTGTTTGGAGATAAGGCAATTTAAGTTTATGACCTCACTGTAAATGTATACACGTGTTACTGAGCTGGAAATGTCCTTAACAGTGGACATTTGTTTTGTTTGATACACAGAAAAAAGTGGAGTGGAAAAATAGTTAGGAAACACCCCTAATAAGCATCAGGGTTTACAGAGCTGATGGTAAAGGTACCAAGCATGTAATGTCCTGTAGTTTATTAGCTAGCAGTCTAGGGAATGCCTCCCTGTGTGTGTTTTCCATTTTATGACATCCAGTAGCTTGTTCCCCTGCTGATTCAGACAGACAGACCTAATAAAACCCACAGTTCAGCTAAACTTCATTGTTTTTTCAGCTCCATTCACGCTACTGAAAAACATGGCTTTCAGTTCTGGCTTGAAACAAAGCTGGAGAGATGTTACTTCAGGAGCCAACATGTAGAAAACTGAGACTGTCCGTCATGTCAAAAAGCAAAAAAATGTCAACAGTGTAAACAAGGCCTTTGATAGGAAAGGTGCAGGACAGACGCACGTTAGCTGCAGTGGTGGTGTGTGTAGGTCACTAGGAAGTGCGAGTGTCTATGAACCATTTGGACATTTTTGTCTACTAGTAAGAAAGTCCCATTGTGACAGTGTGTGTTTAGACAGCTGCTGCTAAACTGAACTGATAATTTACACAAAAGACATCCTAGATACTACTGACCGCAGAGTTAGTCTTGGAGAGTGTGTATTGTCACGTCTGCGTATCTGAGTGGGTGTCGAACATGCTTTTTTTCTATGTTTCGTACCCTGAAACAATTTCCATGCAACTTTTTAAACAAACATCCTTTTGCTACACTTACTGGTACTGTGACTTCAGCATTTTTAAATAGCCTACTTTTACCGGCATGTTATGTTTTATTAAGATGTGAGTGTTACTGCGGGTCAAAACAATCTGGGTCAAAACACTTCAGTTCCATTTGTTTCATAATTTTGATGACAATAAACTTTGAATGAGGTTTTCCTCAATTATGTCACATAAATTGATCCTATTGCTCACTGTTGCTGTTAAATCACTGCCAGAACATATCTGACATGGAAGATCTCGCTATGATTTGACACCTTAACCACACAAATGAGACATGTCAGTAATTTCACTGTACATGGTTTCATGTCAGTAGTCCACAATAGGAAAGAATTTTAAACAGGCAGAATCACTTGAAAATGCAGGGATTTAGGTTGTTTGAAAATGTCGACACAGCCGGCAAAATTCAAAAATCAATTTTCCTAAGTACTCCTCCAGGCTAATAGAGGGAGTTTGTTACGATCCTTCATTTCAAGGCCGGGCACTTAACAAGACAGCAAGTGCTGTTGACATCACCAACTGCAGTAAATTTACAACTCTAATAGATACTCAGAAAGCTCTCCAGATTTTGTTTTTGCCAAGAGCTCTTTGAGCTTTTTGGATCCACCAGAGATATTTCTCCTACACCTCATTTATGCTTTTAACTCCGTCATTAACACTTTTACGGTGTTAGTCCTTTTGAAGATGAAATTAACCAGGTTTCACATATGTTACCATGGAAAAATGAAGAGTTAAACTTATTTATGTCTACATGTGATTCAGCCTTACTGTAGCACTTGCACCCAAACCCACAACTGGATATTCACTTGAACTCATACATAAACAGTCACCCACCAAAGTACTGTGGTATAGTGATTCTTGGCCAACTGATAGTTGCTCTAATGTATCATCATCCTGTGGTGGCGTTGATGCTCCGTTCATGTCAGTGGGAATGTGCAGAATTAACCGCTGCCACACTGGGAAAGCAAGCTAGCTGTACACACTGCTACATATATTCAGGTATCTTACAGGCCCTGTCTGAACAGAGTATGAAACATGATGGCAAGTATGCTCTTCTTTCATCCTATTTACTGCCTTTTCTTTTTTAATCCAGGAGATCAAGGTGAGGTTGGAGAGGAGGGAGATCAGGGAAAGCTGGGGAAGAATGGACCACCAGGATTTCCAGGTACCCAGCATCCATCCATCTACTATGTGTTCTGTATATGGAGGAGGGGAAAGGAGGTCGACTGGAAGTTTATGTAGTCATAAATGGCTACTGTAAAGCAGGAATGGGGACAAGACACTTCCCTCTTAAAAGACCACTCTAACTACTCCACTCTTAGTTTTGCACTCATATAACATAATCAGACTCACGATGGGCAGTTGAAACAACACCCACACTGCTAATGTGTTCGGTCATGTTCTGTATCTTGAAAATGACCTAACACTGTGAGAACAAGATCCTTGAAAGAAGTTCATTTGTATTGAAAACTGGTAAAATTATCCCACTGGCGTTTTTTTTTTTTTTTTTTAAACCTTTTAACAGAACAACAACAAATCATATGAGGAGGTAAAAGTTTGATTTCTATGTTTTTATGCTTTCACCCAATTTCACAAACTACAAAAATAGCTCTTGCAAGGTCACTTGCCAGTTTAAAAGATGGTCCCACATTTGGTATCAGTATCAATCAGCATGTTTCCAACATGTGCAAGGGATTAAGACAACCAAAGGGGAAATGAAGAGAAAAACTGATAAGCAGAAAGACGGCATTTCATTATATTCACACGGAAATGATAAGTCTGACTTTATCCCTCTTTGACTCAAAAATATTACAGTTACATTGCTGGTGTAATATGGCCAGACAATAAAGGTCTGACTTTCTGTGCTCTGAGTTTCCCCACATAGACAGCCTGTGTGACTTTGCCCTGGCAGCAGCTTTTGCTTTTTCCTGCTCCAGACACACTGCTTTCCTTTGCTGTGCAGCTGATACAGAGGCCCGCCCTGCTCTGTGATGGACAGACCTGCACTGCTGTGTTTCCGTGGAGAAAACAGACGTGTTAATTGCTGCTGAGGAAAGCAGTGGATTGCCGCTTTGCCATATGTGTTCCAACTGGACTGGTGGATTAGCTGGCCAACCAACCAGGCATATAATGTACACAGATGTCTGCACATACAGCCACACACTCACACACCGAGGCATACGTACAATATACTGTACACAAGCTTATAGACACAGAAACACACAACAAATAATTGCGTATACAGGCTCATACACTAAGCACTGGCTCCTGGCTGCCTCTGCTGTTCTTGTTTATAGATCCTCACACACACACACACACACACACACACACACACACACACACACACACACACACACACACACACACACACACACACACACACACACACACAAAACAACAACAGACACACACTGCTCCCATCAGACTGTGAGAAAGACAAATGCTAGAACTGTTTGAGTCACTTCCAAAAGTAAGCAAGTATGTATATGCGAACATTTTTCAACTTTTCAACTTTGCGGATATTTTTCAACAATACAGCAAACCCGCTCATTATGGTTTGTCTGCTACACAGTTTGTCTGTTTGTGTGTTTGCTTACTGTAGGCATGAACGCAGGTTCTCATGATGACTATGTAACTGCAGTATGTCAGCAGCTCAACAAGTGACGCATGTATTCCTTGTCTCAATGTAGGCCCTTTTACAGGAAACAGTTGCTTAATTTTGGACGGTTAAAAGGGAATACATGACCGTTAATGCTCCGGTGGGCAACAAAAACAATTTGTTGCTCTAAGCTTATTAACGTCAACAAACAGCTCAGCTTGACTTTTACATTTGTTAATTGTGCTTTACTCAGAGCTGCTGTTTGGAGTCTTGAGTTACGGATGGCAGATTCTGGTGTTATGTAATGTTCTTAACTCTTATGAGGAACCTGTTGGGACAGTTAGCAGCGTTCAACAAATGGAAAATCTGGCTTAAAGCCGTTGTTTCATGTAGCCCCAGCTCTCTTTCCACTGGCCGCTCAGCTCTAAAAAGAAGAATTACCTGTAATATTTGCTCATTTGGATTGAGTAAGCTAATGTGTAATGACTGATCTAATGTCTGCTTATCATTTTAAAACTTGTATTTCATAAGCTTTTAAAACATCTAGTCTATTGAAGCCAGAATGAATGGGTTTTTGAAATAGCTTAAGGTTGTTTAAAATATGTTTTGAGCTCCATAATTAGAGTGAAAACTGTGGTCTCCACCTCCTTTATCCTCCAGCAGCTGGAGAATCCAGACGTTAAACCAGTTGGAGGGGTTGGCCATTATAAAGAGTGACTGCAGTGATAGGAAGATCTGTTATCTGGTTGTCTAGATAGACAGTTTAACTGGCAAGCATGAGCACTGCGAAAACAACATTAATCAACTTTTATAGACACAGACAGAATAACATAGGACCAACAGATTCAATTTCTCCATATAGCAAAAAACAAACACCTATAATCACCGCTCGCATTCTGTTCTCAGGTCGGTATTGTCAAAATATTTACTTTGTGAACGTGCTTTCACACAGAAAATTACACAAAAATTCTACACAGATCATAGTGGAATAGTGAAGTTTCCCAAAGGCCAGAGCTTTAGTCTCGCAGACCGCACACAATCCATAAGACCTCACACCTCTGCCAACACTTCTCACAAATCATCAGCAGAAAATCAACATGAGAAAGTGGGAAATAGTAGTGAATAGCTGGCTGTGTGTGTGTGTGTGTGTGTGTGTGTGTGTGTGTGTGTGTGTGTGTGTGTGTGTGTGTGTGTGTGTGTGGGGCAAATCCCTCTAATAGCAATAGGCCCCTCCAATGTGTCACTTAGTGTTTCAAACACCATTAATTTCCAGTTGAATAGTTTCCTGAGGAAATACTCGTTCAAGTACTGGCAGAAGGCCTCAGTCTGCTCTGTAGTTTTCCCACACACACACGTGCGCGCGCACACACGCACAATATCTTTCTCACTCATTCTGATATTCTCCGTTCTCCTACACTTTCACTGTAATATCCAATATCATGCCTTAACTTTCTCAGTATCTCGGTTAGTTCTTCTGACACCAAACTAAAGCAGCCAGACAGAAGCCAGTAATCAGATTACAGAGAAGGACTGTAATCAGTTACAGTGATTGTGATGACAATAACCTGATCAAAAAATGTAAGGCAATCATCAATACTCAATACAGATGCTTGCAAATAATTTAAAAAAAAAGATGTTCAGCGTACCAGAACATGCAGTTGATTACACCCTCTATGTAGAAGAAATCAAAGAGTAACTGAAAATAATAAAATAAGATAAATAAATAATGAACACTGAGTCCATTTACTCTTTTGTCTAAGACATGTCCTCCAACAATGCACATTTTCTACCAGACTGTCTTCACACCGCAAACAGAATCCCAGTACAAAGTACTTTAGTTAGTGCCCACATTAACCAGCATCGTTTCCTCCAATTTATTTACTGACATAATAATGATAATAATCATGGCATCAGTTTAGGAACCAAACAATGCAGAAATTGTTGGAAAAAAGCCTCAGGGCTCACAGAGATAATTTCCAAAGGAAGAGATGGGAGTATGTAATTATATTGATTAGGCTTGAAAACAACAAAATAATCAAGAAACAAAAGAAAACTGATGAACGCCATGATACAGTCATAGTTGTAAGAATAACAAACTTGAATGTATGCCTAAAAGTGAGGGGAATCTTTCTAACTCATGATGATTCTGATCCTTCACATAATGTAACAGAGACATCTACCATATTTACTTTGGATAAAGTGTGAGGTTCTAGTAATATCGTGTATACCCCCTTTCCAGGTATATTATGGACACTGTTGGATTGGAGAGTCATCGTCAAACTAAGATGATGGGATTTCTTTACCTTGCCTCAAATATCCGTCATCCTCTCTGCGATTATCCTCTTCCATCTTCCCATCATCATGTGTCTTTTTTTCTTCCCCAGGAATGTCAGGAGAGAAGGGACTTAGAGGAGAGGTGGGCCACACAGGAAAGATGGGACCTACTGGAGACAAAGGTAAAACAAAAGAAAGTCATTTTAATATCATTTTAATCTAAACTTCGTGTTTCTATATGTAGTTGTAATGCAAAGCCTACACTGCAGTGTAAACACAGGCCTTATTACAATTCAAACACATTGTATACTGCACAGTATACAGTAAACAAACAAGAGTGCACCAAGAGCAAAACTTCCAATCCTCAGTGTATTGTTAAAAGAGAGAGAGGGAGAGAGAGAGAGAGATTTATACACTTTATAACTATCATGTGTATAAATTTGTCCTTTGTTCCAGTGCCAGTAGATGTTTTCAACATGCAGAAAGGAGCCTGTAGTTGTCAACAGCAGGCTACAAAAATGGTAAATAATGTAGCTGTGAGGTTATACTTTATAATTGCCTAAAAGAAGAAATATAGTTTCCCGAATTCCTCCTCAGCTTGGACTGCTGCTCCATAACCATAGTCTCAAAACATTAAAATAAGTAGAATGGACAGTTCTATAAAAATCAGTTAACTTAATTAGTCCCAAGGCTAATACACACCAGGAGGAACTGCTTCAAGCCAATCGCAATTTCCTTAAAAGAAGTCTGTATTTTTCCCATTTCCTTTATGTTTTAAGTTATCACATCCAAAGATAGAAGAAAATTTAATTCTGCAGTATGAAGTCATCCATCTGCTTTGCCCAGGGTGGCTGAAACAATTTCTATCTTTGCTTTTTTTTTTTTTTTTAATGAGCAGTCCCATTCCCCTGCCTTTCTAGACATTCACTTTTCTCCAGTATTCATTATGTTTAATATGTTTACAGGAAAGTGGCTGTGCATCAGCCATCTCAGGCAAAGGAGTGAGGTCACAGGTTTGGATTGTCCTTGATCCTGAGTGCCTGTAGCTCATAAAACACCTGGAAAAAACATGTTTTTCAGGGAAATGTTGGCTTTAGTGGAATCACAAACTAAAATTCAGCCACTCTTTTACAGAATTCTGGTCATGGTAAAGGGTCCATGTCTACATTAGCAAAATTGGTCTTCATTCAAGATATACTGTATATAAGATTATTATGGTACATGAGCAGCAGTCATTTCTATCTGCTACAATTCAATGCTTAACTCTATAACTGTGTGATTACTGAGTTCATATGGAAAATAACCAACTAACTGAAGCAGGGCTGTTTGGGTGTTTGGGGGGTTTATACTGTATGCTCCCTTAGATATCTGCACCATAACATATCTGGCAATATTATATTTCATAACCCATGCAGCTGCAATACCGGTAACAGGATTCGAAGTTAAGACTGAAGCCAGAAATGTTTACTTTTCACTTATTCGTTAGTGTTTTCACATTTGTGTCAGGGTGCTCAAATTGTGTATTAATCCAAATCACAAAAACCACTCAGCCTGGCCAGATTGTACTGGTACAGCATGTTACTGCTGGGGCTCTTCCTCATACAACACCAGCCTATTGTGATGTTTGTACTGCAGTCCACTTCCCCAAAATCTGCAACTGCCAGTTGGGTTAATTTCCACAGTAAAGCTGCAGTATCTATAAGTGTATATACAGTATTTTGAAAAAAAAAAAAAAAAAAAAAATCTGGATTAGATTTACAAACAAAAGCTAAAACTTAGCCACATACAAAAATATGTGGGTTGTCATAGTGATGTGTATTTGGGATATTTAAATCTTGGTTACAAACAGGTTAAAAACTTTGTCCTGAGTAACTCTGAACCTGTGTGCAGCCATTTTTAAATGTTTATGTATGATACAGCCATCTAGTGGTAATCTTTTGTAACTACAACACAATATCATTAATAACACAGGTAGCTGTCAATAAGTTGAATTATTGATGGATAGTATGTGGTGGTACTGTGTAATGTATTTAAATTTTAAGTAATTGAAAACCAGGATCACAGATGTTTAAATCATACAGACTTTCTGTGATATCTATTCCTCTGTAGGTGACAAAGGTGATACAGGTCTGGATGGGCCCTCTGGTCTAAAAGGGAAACCAGGTGAGTAAGCTCACATTGCACAGACATTGCTTGTTTTTTAAGTTGTATGCAAGACTATAACCCCATTCAGTTCCCCATGAACCAACGCGATGATGTTACAGCAATGTTGCATTTAAAAATAAACAGCTAAACAGAAAACGTTTCTGCTTCCCTCGAATCTACAGTCTTGTAAGTGGCTTTGAACAACTAAATATGGAGTCAGGTAAACTATATTCAAGTTAGTTACTGCTATAAAGAAAACAAACAACATTATTTTGAAACATATAAAGTCACTCCAGACACTCTTTGGGATGCGCCCTACTGCTGCCATACAGCAGACCAGTGTTAAATATACCGCAGTCAGACGGATGTATCAGGACAGCGATAAGTTTTTCAGTGTTTTGTTTGTGTACTCAAGACTCAAAATGTCGATGAGTGCTGACTTTTAGCTTTAAGTGTGTTTGAGGGTACAGGGAACAGTGTATGTTTGTAGTCCGTTTTATACATAGACATTTTATGACAATGATTTTAAACAGTCAAACACAGATAAACAAAGAGTTTTTATAGTCAAACTGTTGACTACTTGACAGACCACTTGACTGATCCAATTCATCATGTGTTTCCCCTTGTTGAAGATCATACTGAAGGCAAAAAGCCCAGACAAGCATGAAAAGATGAGGCCTAACAGAGCATCACCAGGGAGAATAACAAATGTTGGCTGATGTCTGTTGGTCAAAGGCTTCAGCAAGTTCAGCTATTGACAGAAAAAAAAGGGAGCAAATATTAAATCATAATGACTTTTAAGAGTACTTTATGTCCCCTAAAATGGGTAAAAGTAAGAGGAGCTACAGTTCTTACACAAATCCTCAGAAGAAAAAAAAAAAAAAACACCTTTAAAGCTGCGAGACAAGATTTGAACAGACAGAGAGTAATGTTCTATACATTTACGCTTAATATACCGTTGTATAATATTGTCACGATCAACAAGGTTATTCTGTCCTGTTAAATCCTGTACACACTGAAACCCTGTGCTTACCCATGTAGGCACCACATGTGACTGTGGCAGGTACAGGAAAGTGGTTGGACAGCTGGATATCAATACAGGCAAGCTGAGGAACGCTGTCAAGTTTGTGAAAAATGGTGAGTCCTTCATGGACTGAGATCTACGGTTCTTCAGTACGTTAAGTGGCAGTAAGCAAACTGAATGTCTTCAAAAGGTGTGAAAACCATAACATTCAGCACTAAAGATAAAAACTGAAGTATAAGTATGCAAGTGTTTTTAGTTGCCATATACTGTAGATACAGTAAAAATACATTCTCATTTTTATTCATAATGCCCTGTCAATGTCCTGCTAATCATGTGGCTGAGCTTACAACAGCCCTTGGTTTGGCCTGCTATAGAAAAGTTTAATACCACATTATGGCCCCACTGACTTCTGATTTGTCGATCTATGTAAGTAAAGACACAGTCAATTGTGATGGGAAACATGTAAATATGATGGGAAATAACCTGACCCCCCAATGACCTTTAACCCTTAACCCTGCCCTGTGCAGTCATCTTGGGGCTGAGAGAAACAGAAGAGAGGTATTATCTGCTGGTGAAGGAGCCCAAGAAGTTCAGAGAGGCTTCAATGAACTGCAAGCTGAGAGGAGGCACCCTGGCCATGCCAAAAACCACCAACACCAACCGTCTCATGGCAGACTACGTCAGCAAGGCAGGACTGACAAGAGTTTACATAGGAGTACATAGTCAAAGCATGGACACGGTAAGTGGACCACAGCAGAACATAATGTGGGCACGCATATGCACACACCACACACACACACAGCAGGAGGTGGAGTTTCAGATCAGTTATCAGTAATTGTTCAGGGTAAAGAGAGTGTATGATTCATAAGGATGCATAACAAGTAACAAAAACCCAAGCCCAACCCAACCTGAGCAACAAAAATGAGACAATGTGAATCAAGGTCTTGAGTAGTTTGTAACTTTTCTGAATAATTCATGATGAAGTGTCATACTGTGTAAAATGACCAACACAGTGCTGCTACCACTCCCTTAAATATGTTTTAGGCTGTTGTAATTTGATGACAAACTGATGCTCGCTACCACTTACTTCACTTCCTTTATAAAGAAGGGCGAGTATCTAGGGCTAAATACCGCGGAAACCTGACTAGATGATGAGATACCTTCTTTTTTTTTTTGAAAGTGTATCCTGATGCTTAATTCTCTCCGGTGTTCTTGTCCTTCAGGATGGAACAAGCGGTTATGGTTATGCAGATTCCAGCCCTCTGCAGGGGTTTGCAGCCTGGAGTCAAGAAGAGGAGCTAAATTCCAGATTATCTCCAACCACAAACTCCAGCTGCGTGGAGCTGCTCAGCACTGGAACATGGGGTCACGTGGAGTGCGAGGCAACCATGTTTTTCATGTGCGAGTTTCCAAAGAGCAGGAGAAGAGGATGAGGAGGAGAAAGAGGTATACCTGCCTCAGCAACATCATGAGTTAATGAGATGTTCAGGCTTGCATATATATATATATATATATATATATATACATACAGTGTGTTTATATTTATGCAGTATTATGTTTTGTAGTATGTATTGACAATTTATATAGTGTGCTGATTCACATTAATATTTCATAATGTAAAACCAGTTCAGTGTTGTTGTTTTTTTGCCTAAATGAGTTATTAAATTGTTGTTGATTAATTTTCTGTTGATCTTTTGTTCTATTTTAAACACTATTTCCTTGAGGTTGCAGTATGTTACAGTTTTACAGTCTGAGTGTGAGTTACGTGTTACGTTTCTTATATCTAAAACCTTTATCAGACTACGTTTGTTGGCACCACAGGAAAAGATCTGTCCTTCTACTTAGCATGAAGACACATACATGAACTAGAGATGCATTTCTTGGGAAATCAAATAAGCCACGATTTCTCCAGATAAAGCAATATCTCATTAGCAATAATAAGACATAGGCTACTTGCTGACTTTATGGATCTAATCTACACAGATGACACATGCACATTCCCATTAGCAGGCAGATATCCAAGTGTCATTACCTGTCTGTCACACATCTCTCTCTCTGCCTGTCCCTTCAGCTCTCTTGCACACACAGCTGAAGTGAACAGTGCAGATGAAGTGTGCAGCTCTTGTTGCTACCCTGCCACCCAGAGGCCGCTGATATATTTGATGAATGCAAATCAAAAACAGCAAATTTGTTTCTGAATCAGCCATTTCTACATTGTGGGGATACTTTCTCTTTCCCAGATTCGCATTTCACCACATGAGTGCGTAGCGGTGTTGTGTGTGTGTGTGTGTGTTTTGTTCCAAAATTGGTAGAGTGACCGTGACAAAAAAAAACATTCACAAAGCTGTCATTGTGAATTTTGTTGTTTTTAGTGTTGAATGCCCAAAGTGACATTCTAAAGACTGAGGCCAGATTCAAATCCATAAGCCTGTCAGTGCAGAGCACTGTAGTTTTGAGATCAATGAAGTGTCACTGAGTTACATGTGCGAGTGAAATTAAAGAAAGCTGGCATTTTACATCTCATGAAAAACAGATAAAGTTGTTTTTTCTGCCCAAAAAATTTTTAAATGTACATATACCTTTGGAGATAATTTTTCAAATGAGTGGTAGGAGACAAAAACAATAGGTAATATGCCCTTCCTGTGTCTGTACTATGATTTTAACATTACACAAATACTGGGTATCATGCATGGTTACATGGCAAGCTATATCAATTATCTACAGTATATCAACATTGTTCCACATAAACCAAATCATAGCTTAACATTAACTGTGATTTTCCATTAGAAACTGCTCCGAACATAGCAGTTTCACTTCACCATTTGGTGAAAAAAAAAATTGCACTCAATGGTTCCTCACAGAAAATGTTGCTGAGTCAGTTTAGAAATCATTTCTCATGTCTTCTCTCAGTTCCCCTCATTTTTTCATGTGGTTTGTTATGAACACTTATGTTTTAAATGTACAAAAACTGTGTTCTTATTATGTTTCCTTTCATTATTTGCAAGTAACATGGAACAAAACACTTTGAGCTGCTTTGTAATAATAATAATAATAATAATAATAATAATAATGATGTGGTCATGAGTGTCTCGGCTGGCGTGATTCCATCGCAAGATGATCTCTAGTGGGTTTTTTTTTGTTTTGGACATTTTTGCCTTCAATGACGGCAACAGTGGTGATAGACAGTAAGGTCAGGGGAGGGGATGACTGACACTATAAGACCAAAACTAAATCACAGGTTAAAACGCACCGCTGCTCAATCACAAACACCCTTAAAGTATAAATAAATTTGCAAACAAAGTCATCTTAAAGGATGATAAAACAGCTGGATTGGAGAAATACTGAATATATTCCTCCATATATCCACTACCACTCACAGTTTATGTAATAAAAAAAAATCTGTGTGCCGCTTTAAATAAGACTCCAACCCAAGGCGGGGCCTTTTCCAAATGCAACATTCATTCCCCACAGGTTTGTATTTGCTGTGTCAGCAAATCACTGAACCTTAATAAACGCAGCTTCATGCAACACTTGCAAACACTATGAAGTGGAAGTAAGGACCAGGCGGGTGAAAGACAATACAAAGAAACATAAATCTGCACAGATGTCAGTGGCATTGAACAGTGAGTCAGAGGAGGTTACAATAGAAAGCTGGAGTCTGATGGATACTGGCAAAAGATCAAAACATGAATCAAAATATAGATGGACACCTCAAAGTCCAGGTAAGAAAAACCTAACCACAAATCACCTAACCACATTCCTTACAATTGCAAAAGAGTAGCTGTAGTAATTGTAAAAATCTATAAGTGATGAAATACAGATAGGGACTGCCAACTGTTAATTAATCACTGTTATTTAAACCGTTTAAGAAAATCACACATCTGTATTGCTTGTTTGTGGTTCTCATTGCCTTATGGTGATAATATACGGTTCAGTCTGGTGGATTGGAGCTACTGCAGTGTGTCTGGTGATTCTTCTGCTGACTGTGATCTTGGCCTTGGTGGTCCAGAGTAAGTACAATACTGCCTCAACATAAACATAAGAACATAGCTAAATCCTCAGTATTCAGCAGATCACAAGAGTGCAGAAATCAGTTATAAAGGGTTGGTTATAAAGTCTAAGTGAGCATTTAAAATCAGCTTCCAGAGCCATATCAGGTCTAAACCTCCAATGAATGCTCCATTTTTCAGCCTGGAGTGATTGCTTGATAATTTTCACAGTTTTTCATAGATTCTAAATTACCTTTCTGCAGATGGCAGCACTGTCAGGCATTGGAACAAACTTCAAGTTGGTCTGATGGAGTACCAAAACCTGGTTTCTAATCTGACTAAAGACAGAGATGCTCTGAGAGATGAGCGAGACCAACTGAGAATTAATTCCAGCAGTCTGGCAAAAGACATAGAGGTGCTGCAGAGCCAATATAACACTGTGGCTGCAAGTCGAGATGAATTAGAAGAGGCGATCAGACAGTTAAATCTCAGCACAGCAGGTAAGGAGTGGACTTAAACAAGAAACTGAAACTTTGATTTGAATTCAGAGGAAATGTAGAGAGGAAACTGAAGAAGATGCAGAAATTAAAGATACATTATCAAACAACATAAGAATTGGTCGGATCATAAAATACATTCTAATGTATTCTCATTAAATACAAAGGTCAGGATGATAAGAGGTATAGCATATCAGACTATGTAATGTACTGCCTGTTCAATATTACACGGAAATACTGAATACCTCTGTAAAAATCCAAGTCAAAGTTTTGCCAACATAAGCAGTAAATCTAAATTGCATAACTGCAGGAATCTGTTACAGTTGTGTTGAAATCATTTAACCAAGTATAGGCTCACTGCACGATATTGGAGCTATGAGTCTTTATAAGACACTGAGTCTTGATCTTTGTGTTGTCACACAGAAAGGCGTTTCAAGAGCAGAATACCTAAAATGCACTTGTGCTCTCTCTAGATAAACATTGCCACCTTGGATGGGTAAAATTCAACAACAGCTGCTACTATGCCTCTGAGAAACGAGCGAAAAAAACATGGGAAACCAGCAGACAAGACTGTTTAGAGAGAGGATCAGATCTGGTGATTATAACCACAAATGCTGAGTTGAATTTTGTCACCACACTTTACACCAGAACCTGGATTGGTCTATCTGACATAGCGCAAGAGGGCAAGTGGAAGTGGGTGGATGGGACTGACCTGGGAGGTGGGGGATTCTGGCAAGCCGGGGAGCCCAATAATAATGGACATGAGGATTGTGTGGAGATTTCACGTTCAAATGGGGATTGGAATGATGTGTCTTGTGATACTAAAATACCATGGATTTGTGAGTATTAACATCCATTCTTTGTCTTTCAATTGATGCGATTCAGGTCATCCCATCACGGTGTACAGTGCAACACATACAGATTAATCATATTTAAAGTCATGTGCCAGTGTTGATGTTTGAACTCTTACTAGAAAGTCTGATAACTGTTCCTTTATATTGTGTCTCTATACATTAAAAATGATACAGAATAGTCACAATATTGCTTAATGATATTTTGTACCCGTTTTAGCAATAATTAGTCATTCAAAGCAAAAAGTAGAAGCAAAATGTTGTAGCCCCTGAATGTTTTTTTTTTCCACTGCTTCTTGAATAAATAATTAACAATAAAATAAAAGTTTTATTTCTGGCATCCTGCTGTGAGATGGAAGTGAGGCCTGCAGAGATCCACTGTGCTAAATGCATTTCAGAGAACAGGGTCAAATCTGCCCTTGCCAAAGCTTTCTTACCCATTTCCTCAATGGAAAAAGAAAAAAAAAAAGATTTATGATCTAGAAGTCTTGGTTTTATAAACAATGGCCTTACATCAGGTGAAAGGATACAGGGTCTTATATAGGTCGTATTGATTCTAACTGTTAGCCAGGATCCACTGAACTAAGCCCAGTGCCCTTACAGAGGTTATATCAACATTGTTTCACATAAACCAAGTCCTAGCTAAACATTAACTGTGGTTTACCAAAAGAAACTGCACTTAGCATCTGATGTCACAACATAACAGTTTTACTTCACCATTTGATTAAAAAACTGTGTTCACAAAAAATTTATCCTCCAACACAACAGGTCTGTGTTTTAGTGGAAACACAGTTGGAAATGTCACTAAGTCAGTTTAGAAATCAGTTCTTCTCCACTCTCCTCTGCTCCCCCTTAAACTAATATTTACTTTTTAAACCTCTTCGCTTCAGCACTGTGAAGGTTAACCAGTATACACACCATTGTTTCTTAGCCCTCATTTCTTTTCTAATAGTCTTCACTCCAACTATTTGATTTGCCTTGTCACTAATGTTCCTGAGTTGTGGTGTCTGCTGGTGGCTGTTCACACAGAGGGAGTCAAGTGCCTCAACAGACTCAGTGAGAGTAAAACTGCTGCTTTCAGTTACTGTTGGTGTTTCCACCAGGACAAGATGAGCATGCATGATGATTAATGGGAATGACTGCAGAGTTATAAAGAAGGTGTGGAGATCATAAAAGCCACGAAAACAAGCAGGGGAGTGACCAGTCTGTGGTCTATCATCACTGTAAACACACTCCCACAATATTATGACATATTGATGCAGACAGCATGGAGCCATAAAAGCATATTTATCCCATCAAAGCTAAATTCATTAGCATGTCATAACAATTCACCAATACATGCATTATCATCATTGTGTATAATAGGTATTGTATATTCCTAGCCTCCTTTTCTGTTGCACGCAGCAACTTTTACCAATAAATTAATTAAAAAGCTCAATCACATGATTCATCTGGACAATTTCTTGTTTTATAATTTCTTGTTATCTTGCCAACCTTGCACATCAGCTTAATCTTAAAAAAATCTATATACTTTAAATTGTGGGCTCAAATTAAATTAAAAATTATTCTTTCAGAATAAAACCTCAACCAAGTAAAACCACCTTTGACACGGAAATAGCCTATGACCTTTACTAAATGGACATTGTAATGTAGGAGCTTCCGTGCAGTCCGTGAATGCAGCACTGGTTTCCAGGGAGTGGCCCCTGCACCTGTCCGACCTGTTTGGGGGTGGACACATGACTCCGGAGGAATTTCCCCCGCTGCTCCCGTCCTTTGTTTAACGGAGGCTTTTTATTGGGAGGCAGAGGGTGAGAGGCAGAGGAGAGGGGGAGACAGAGAGAAGAGAGAGGGTGACGGAGAGATGTCGGAACCAGCCACTAACCCCGCTGCCACCTCGTTCCCAGCGCCAACGATTTCCCTACCTTTGGGACTGGAAGTATTAAGGACTTACTCTGGAGCCCTTGTCTCTTTAGAAATAGTGAGTATCGCGTTTTTTTTTTCTTCAGAAAATTCAACTGTATGTTATTTTCTTACATTTATCAGTGACCCAGTGGTGTTGTAGAAGTCTGCCTAACCTGTACTCTGTATTTCTTTATTAATAATTGATGGCCTTTTGTTGACCATGTCAAGTAAGAGTTTTACTTCCAGGCTACTAACACTGGCTGCTCAGTTTAAACGTTACCTGCACACTGGTCATTGCCTTAGGCTGGGGTTTATTGGTCATGTTTGACAGCCAAAGCAAAGGCAAATGTGACATGTCTGGCCGCGAGGATCAAAACGCCTGTTTCCACCTGTGTAGGCCAAGGAAATTGCAAATGAGTTGTGAGCATCATCTCATTGCATAATATTAACAACTTTAACAGTCAGTAACCGATTCATAAGTTCTGTTTTGAGTGGCAGCTTTATTTTCACCTTTAACCCCACAAGGTGACTTCTGCAGTGCGTATAATCATTTGACTGTTAACTTTTAGGCCTATTTGCAGCTGAAAGCCTGTGTAGATAGGCCTTAAGCTTGAAACAGTCAGTGAAATGAAAGTCAGTGAAATGCTGAGTCGTATCTGATGTTAAAGCCTTTTCCAACATTTATACTACCTGTAAACTACTACAGTCGATGGCCTATAAATAGTTGATTTAAAGTTACTTACACCATCATACTATTTTAGTGCTTTAATCAGTTGTGTTACTTCCATTTTTGCACCTTTGTCCAAAATAAACCACATCAAAGATAACGTTTGCTACTCTGACATACATTCTCCAACCAAACACAGTGCATTTTATCCATGTGGCCTTGCAATAACAAAATTTGCATCCTGGTTGCCAGCTTTAAATGGTGCAGCCTCACATAAAATTGATACCAATGAGTTGCATGCAGTGGGGTAAACCGTTTAAATTGAGGAAAAAGAGCACTGGTATCAGATTGGGAATAGGTATCAGTAGGTATTTTAAGGTGAGGAATAGGAATCGTAATTGGGAAAAGAAAATGCTGGGTGTGTGCATCCCCAAGTACGATACACCATACCAGTCCACATATTTTGTTATACCTAAAGTCTTTCTAGTGTGTCCTAAACTGCTGACAAGCCTGTACCTATACAAATGTGTCCACTGAAACATTATGAACAATTAAATGAATCCAAGCTGTCTCTTTGAGATTGCCTTTGCAAGCTCCATCTTGAAGATTACAAAGCTGATTGCATATGCAAGAAATGTTGTACTTTATCTGTCACCAATGTGAGTTTTTGTTTATATCCCCAGTTATTTGGTGGTTTAGTATGGATCCTTGTGGCTTCCTCCAATGTGCCCGTGCCTCTGCTGCAGGGCTGGGTGATGTTTGTCTCCGTCACCACTTTCTTCCTTTCGTCCGCCTACCTCACGCTCCTCATCACTGGCCTGGCTGACCGCATCAACACTGACTGGAACTTCTTGGTAAGCCGCAGACAAATGAGCTGATGAGTCCGTTAGTCCTAATCCTAATTGTCTAATTTCCCACCTATCCATCCATGTCTTACTTCTTCATAATCCATTTTGATGTCCCTCCTTGATTTAGAAAATACCAATGTATACCATACACAAATAACACAATTACAATTTAAAAGGTGGCACTCTATATTTTGAGAAAAGCACTTTAAGACTTAGGAAAAAAGCATTAACATGTCAAAAGGCACTATGAAACAACCGAAAGTGATTTAATACAACATGTAAGTGCAGTCATTTAGCAAAAAGTCCGATCATTTAGATGGCTGTAAGTGTTTGGTCATGTTGTTATGGCAGCAACTGTTTGGTGCATGAAAGTCAGAGATCTGGTTCAGTGGCAAAACTGCAAGTCAGTCTCATGGCAGTGGCAGTATTTCAGTTCAACTCATGCTATGGCCTGTCTACATATTAAACAAGGACTGCTCCATGGAAGTTACAAGTCAGTTAACTTGTACCAAAATGCATTACTGTAATACTGTAATAATCAAATATACAATGTGATGCCTGTGTTTGGCTCTCTCTTTATTATTACTCTATTATGTATTATTCCTATTAGTGTATGAGAACTAAATACTTTGTCAATATGATTGCTTGTAGATTACATAGTATTTTAAATCTAATCTTCACTGTGGCTGCTATGCAAGTTCAACTATGAGGAACAAAAAGAAACTTGTGAAATCACCCACCACTGCACGGCACTTATCCAAGTGTGTACACATATACTCTGTGTGTGCCCACATCAAGCCACTTAGTTTATTGAAAAAAGTAATTCTGACCAAATCTTATACATAGACAGGCCCCCTTTCTGCCATTTTTACTAAGGCAACCACTATACCATTAACTATAGGGACAATTGAAACAAGTGCTCATTACATAAGTTATCAAAGTGAATTATGTCTCTTCTCTTCCAGTGTACAGTGATTGATTTATTAGCTCTCATCTAAGTACATACAAAGCTTTTGGGGACTTATTCAAATATAAGCAGTTACACTTCCTCATCCTAACATGACTCAGAACTTGCAACAATCTAAAACCAGCAAAGCCTGCTGTCTTCTTTGAGCATGTTCTGACTAAGTGCCTGTGTAGACCACAGCCAAGTGGTTACTATGACAGATGTGAATGACTGTTTAAATGCACACTAATCAGGTGGTTTGAAGGACTTTGTAGACCTGCTAGTAGTGATTCACAAACAGAACCTAAACAGGATCTATCAGAATACTCACACAAGTCCATACAACTATGATGATTTTCTTCATAGTCATGAATAGATTCAGTGAGTTCAGGGCTTATCATGGGGACTGGGGAAGCATACTTCTACTAGCTTAGCTAGCTCTAATCCTACTGAACATTTTGCATAAAAAGAGATATGATGGAAGATGCTGATACCTGTGACTGCAGCGTTTGTCAGCAGTTTCTATTTCAGTGGAAAGCAACAAATTTAGGCTCGTTTCTGAGGCCAAAATTCAGATATAAAAATCAACCTAAGCTCATGTTCAGTAATTTATCCTAAACGGAAATGTAACTACACATGGGTAAATAATAACATGGTAGTGGAGTAAAGAAATAATGTGAAACGGTATAACATGACAGTCTTGGCTGTGCAGGCCATTTTCAAATTTTGCCATAACTATGTTAAATATATCAATGATGTGAAAAAAGTGAGAACCAGTGACATGTTCTTATGTTGTGTCAGTGTAGGGGACTCTGTGTTAAGTCTGGGCTCTCAGACAGAGCCAGCCTTGCCTCAGGCTCCAGACCCTGCTCCCAGGAGTAGCCAGGCATGTGAGGTTGTTTGTTTTCAGCCGAACA